GTTCAAGTCACATTCTTTTTGGTTTTCTGCCACTATCAATCTAGGTATCTTTTCAACCACTTCATTTCTCTGAGGTCTTTGGTTAATTAAAAGGCTTCTTGGGATTGGTATGGGTATTGCTCTTTGGTAGTCTTCATTTTCCAAAACTACATCCAAAAAAACAACAACTGCCCACCAAAGCTGTCAGGAGAATTCTTAAGCACCTTCATGTACTCATCAAAATTCATCAACCATTTGGGGCATTACCCTCATGGGATATTTGTAAAGGGCCACTGCTGGACCTGTTTAAATGCACATTGTTTTTCACATCTTATCTTAATTATGTATGTTTTGTTAAAATTACTTCAGGACAATTTTGTTTGAGGCAATGAATGTACCGTATTTTTTGGAGTATAAGATGCACCTTTTCCCCCAAAAAAAGAGAGTGAAAATCTGGGTGCGTCTTCTACTCTGAATGTAGCCCCGCCCAGCTTCTCAAACGGAGGTTTCAGAGGCTGAAAAAAGCATCAGAAAAAAAGCCCCCAAACAGAGCTTCAAAGGCTTTTTTTTGAAGCTCTGTTTCGGAGGCAAGAAAAAAAGTTTTTTCTGAAATGGAGTTTCAGAAGTTTCAGATGCAGAAAAAAAAGCCAAAAAAAGTAAGGCGCAGAGCTCACAACCAAGGAACCTGTTGTCCTAAATTCACTTCTGGGAACGCTGATTGGGGGTATTCTGGGAGGCCAATCCACCTGCCAATCAGCTTTTTTCTTATTTTCCTCCCCAAAAAGTAAGATGCGTCTTATACTCCGGTGCGTCTTATACTCCAAAAAATGTGGTAGGTTGATAGACACTTGCAAAATATTAACCTATATTCATTGTCAAAATAACCCCAAAATAATTTCACCAATGCCCATGAAATCTTGCCTCTGATCTTTATTTAAATTATTTTATTATTTTTTTTAAAAAAAAATATTTTTTTAAGACAAACAAACACTTAATACATCAGTCATCCCTTCCCTGTGACATCTCCAGGGATGTCACAGGGAACATCCTGTGTTGTCTTCCAAAATTATTATTATTATTATTATTATTATTATTATTATTATTATTATTATTCCATAAGTTTCTTCTATCTTGATCTTCATCCAAACCATTATAACAAATCATTGCTAAAACAATATTCTAGTCATCGAGTTTTTATACATAATTACAAAATTAATCATTTATATCTCTTTTCCAACCAACGATAAAAGTAATTCTAGTAAGTTACTTTTAAGTAAATTTAAGTAAAATATTCTAACTCTTCCCTATCCTTAATCATCAAAGTTAATCTATTTCATTTCTGCACAATCTAAAAAATTTTTTATTACTTCTTGTTCCAAAGGTATGTTCTCTGCTTTCCAATTTTGAGCATAAACAATTCTTGCAGCTATTATTACATGTATAATCAGGTAAATATTTTCTTTACTAATTTTTTCAGGAAGGATACCCAATAGGAACAACTCTGGTTTAAGTTCAATATGTAGCTGTAGTTAATAATTTTTATTAACTAGACACAGTGCTTCCTGATCACAAGTCACATCCATTTGCTCAGGTCTGAGATCAGGATGCCTCAAAGAGGATAACGTTGGCAGTGTTATATTTGTTTCTCAAAGTATGCATACTACATACTAAATACTATTCTATTTTTAATAACAGCCCAGAAAAGGAAATCCTGGAGATTTCTTGTGAACATATAAAGATGCAGGCTGGCTATGTAATTTATAGTTTAATTTTTAAAATCCTCAATGGCATTGTATGGAGAGAAAGAGATATCTGTCCTTTAAATTATGTATCTAATTTTTCCTGATGTCTTATGAAAATTATCCCAAACCAGGAACAGGTTTTAATTTTTCTTGGGCCATTATATGTTCAAAGCAAAGGTGGCCTAATTCTTTTTTATATTTATGAATTATATTCTATAATTTGCCTAGGATTTCAAGTTTCTGTACTTACAGTACTCAACTGATTTTTCTCCAAAATAACTGTATGAGGTAGGCTGGGATGAGAATAGCAACTAGCCCAGTTCCCTTAGTGACTAAGTGGCTGAAAGTACATATGAACCTAGATCTCCCTAGACTGGATCCCAAAATCATAATTGTTGCACTGCCTTGGCTGCTGCTTGCATTTAAATGTATAATCCCAAACCAAGCTTGCTACACTGCAGAGTGAAGCATTTTGTTTTAGAAAGCGTCCAAATATATAAAGGGACCAATATCTTTGTAATGCAAGAAAACCTTACAATGCAGTATTAGCTAGGCAGATGATAGATTTGGGCATCATTCCAGGCAGCTGAATTTGAACACGTAATCTTTGTGATATTCCCTATTTAAATTTGCACACTAATAACCTACATATTTGGGCATTTCATATATATCCTGTCCTTGTTTTGTAAGCCTCACCCTGGGTCAGCATGCTTTTGGTAGGGATCAGTTAAAGGTCATCATCCTTCAGGCCCCTTCCTGGATCATCAAATTTATACCATTGTATACTATCACTCTTCAAATTTTGGGCCCAAACCTACTTTTTCCCACCTATTAAATACAAACATACATATAATCGCAATAGGCAACATTCATTTTTGTTCCAATTCCCTCTGCTTGTTGTTAAAATGCAGTTTGCAAGACCCTGCCTGCAGAATTCTGGTAGCTTAGTTTGTAATAGTGTGAGAGTCTTCTGAAATTTATGATCACTAGGAAAATCCAGCATACAAGTCATATAACAAGTAAATCTGGTTTTTTTGCTTTTCAGGATCTGCAAGAGCAGGTTTATCTAGCCCTTCTTTCTTTACATATAGTCATCTGAATTCTGCTTCACAGATAAAGAAATTGTGAATTTCTTTCATAATTTATCCAATGTTGATTTGACTGCTTTTTTGAAAGAAATCACATGATACAGAGCAGCCTTCTCCAGATGGGCATCTGGGACTACAACTCTCAGAACTGAGTCATTGTACTTGGGGATCTTGACTATTATTGTTTCAAAACATCCATGTGTTGCAGGTTGGCACAGACTGGGGTAGAGCTTGCCAATAATGGATAACTTGCACCAACTCCCAAATGTTCTTTCCATGATAAACATGGCACTATTGGAATACAGAGCTGAGACCTATTTGGTAATGGAAGTCTGTAATTTTATTAAGTATAGAATTGTGCTGCGCTTTAATAAGAAATTCATGACCTGAGACTGATTTAGTGGAAAATTTCTAAATCTATGTATAGGTTTGATGTTGAATTGTTTTGCTTATTTACCTCCTATCTGTTTCCAAGTTGTGGAGAGTACCTGGTCGGGGGGTGTATCTTCATTTTATCCCCAGAACACTAGCCTGTGAAATAGGTTGAGCTGAGAAGCAGTGACCCATTATGTTACCATAATCGTAGTGGACTTGAACTTGGTTTTTCCAGGCCTAATGCAATCAGGCCTAATAATTACTGTATTACACTATATGCTGTCATGCAAAGAAGATTATTAATTGTTCTTAACACAACATAAGCACCCTTTAGTTAAAACTAACATAAAGGCCAAATAGCCTCTGGAAAATGTTTCTTTAATTTTCAAAATGACTACAGGTAGTGGTTGGGTTATGATAGCAATTAGAACCGGAATTTCCATCATTATGCGATGTGGTTGTAAAGCATGACATGTCACATGGCCACATTGCACAGCAATAGCAATCCAGGAAATACTGTGATGTGACGCGATGTGGGAAAAGGCAGGAACCCCAGGCAAGCAGTTGATGGGTGAGAGCTATACGTTAGAGCCACATAAGGGCTGGTGGGCGCTACAGGCAGGTGCTACGGAGCATGAATGGGTAGATGGGTTGGTTGTTATCCCAGGAAAGCAACTATTGCAAGCACATGCTATAGAGCATGGGCAGATGCCATGGCCAGACACTAAGAAGCAAGCATAAGGAAGCAAAAAAGTAATGGGAGCAACTTGCGACCTGCCGACTTCCCACTGACTTTCTTTGTGTAGCAGATGACAATTATGTGCCCGAGTCATGTGCAGTCAGTCTGATTGAAACTCTAGCCCATTTTTCTTTGGAGGACAGATGTATTAAAACTAGTATGATTGATTAGCCAGAACTGTTTCATGTGTAGAGTGTTGATTGCATAATACCAAACATCCATTTCAACTTGCTTATGTGAATGATCTAAGATCAGTTTCGATAGATAGTGCTGTATGAAAAATCAGAAGTATGAATCAGTTCACACACATATGTGTGAGTAATTGAATGCTTATGTAAGCTAGCACTTTCCTCATTGTGAAGAATGTTTGATTAAATGAAAGTTTAAAAGCAAAACAATTACAAAGGAGGAATAAATAGTGGGTTTAAGACCATTATCTTTGTAAATTCTGTGTATTTACAGTATACCTACGGTATATAGCAGGTAACAATTTTCTATCTTAAGAAACCTCTCTTTTTTCCGCTTATTTTAGAATGCACACAGGTTGTTAGATCAATATGCAAAACTGTAAGAGCTAATATAGCCTTAGGACATCCACATATAAAATCAATTAAGGGTTTTTGTTTTGCTTTGTTCCTTCTGAAATTTCAAAGGAGTTGTATTTTTGTATCAAATAAATTTAGTCTCTTGACACTAATGGGAACAATCTTCATACACTTCATCATTGTAGCAATATTAAATGGAGCGTTGACAAAATGAACATTGCCATTTGTTTCCTTTACTCCTCTTGTGGGGTTTATAATTAACATTCAACTTTTGCTTGAAATTGATATTTTTACGTCTCCTCCTTTCTCTTGGTAGTACCTATTCTCTTTAAATAAATTCCTGAAATATGCTAACATTTATATGTGATATAAAGATCATTGCTTCCTATGTCTGAAATCATGGACATTTTTAGAACTAGAGAGAAAAGTAAGAAAAATAGTAGACAGTTATTTCAGCAATGCCAGTAATATACTTCTTCATATCTATGTGCTGTTATTAGCAACGTTAACTGTTTCTCTCTGTCTCTCACAGGTAAGATTTTATTATGCCGGCCGGATTCTTCCGGGTATGCTTGGTGGTAATAACAGCTATTATCAACCATCCACTTCTGTTCCCAAAGGAAAATGTTACTGTTTTTGAAAACACAGAAGAAATCATTGAAAAGATGAAAGAGCGTGAGGAGAACCTGAGGCTAGAGCAGCTGAAACTGGAGCAGGAATTAGCAGCACAAGAGGTTTCAGTAGATTCTTCAGAGGAGAAGACCGGACCAGAAAAACAATATGACCATGATTCACTTTCTTGGAATTTCTGGACTGCTTTGTCCATGATAGTCTTCCTTCTGATTGAATTCTGGAGACAGGATTACCAGGAAGGGAACTGGCAAGATTATACCAAAGAAGATGATGAAATTAATGTGCTGGGAAGAACATTCAAGGGTTTTATTCTACCAGACAAAGTCACATTGGACAGTTTTTATGAAAGATGCTTCCAGAATGTGACAAGTGATATTGCTAGGAACCGAGAGCTTGTGGAAGGCTTTGCAGATGACTTATTAGAAGCTTTGAGAAGCGTGTGTAACCGAGATACTGACATGGAAGTGGAAGAGTCTATAGGAGTTGGAAGCATGTATGAAAACTGGAGAGCAAACAAGCCTTTCACTTGTGATTTCATTGTCCCCTTTAATCCCCCAGAACCATACTGTTTCCAATTTGAGACCTGGTGTTCAGGGGAGTCTATTCTACCAGACAAAGGAAGTTATGGTATGATAAAGATCATCCGGGCAGATGAGAACTCATCAAGTTGTATCTGTGATAAAACTAAATTGGGGGAAGATTTACTTTGTCTGCTTCATAGCAAAGTGAACCAAACTAGGCAGAGTAACCATACGGAAGATCTCCTTTGCTTCAAAGACACTCAGTATCTTGATTCTGACCAGGTTATGACATGGTTCCAGATGGCACTTACCAAGGGATGGAATAAAATTGCACACAAGTATGAATTCAGTCTTATTTTTAATCACCTGGATACTCCAGGTGCCCTGAAAATCAAGTTCAGGTCTGGAAAAACCATCACATTCAATCTCAGGCCTGTGGTACAATACGCAGATTCTGATGTATATTTTATCTCTCACTTTCCATTCAACAGCTTGGCACAGAGCTTCACCAGCAACACTCACTGGTTTCTCACCTTTACTGTGTATGAGAAGAGATATATCCAGTTTATTTCCAAAACACTGCCTGCTAATCCTTGCCACCTCAGTTGCCTCCAGATTTTGTCTTTCCTCCATGGAAAGCAGTGCAGTCTGACAGAACCTAGTAGCCTGACAAACTACCATTTCAAAACAGTAATGCTGCATTTGCTACAAATCCATCCTAGTTCAGCGTGGACCTCTGACTGTCTGGAGGCCAGGCTGCAAGATGTACTCAACTTTTTGGAGAAAAGCTTGCAAGAAAAAAGACTTTACCACTTTTTCATTGGAAATAGAAATCTGCCACAGGAACTGGGTGTTCCAGTGGAGTTTCAAAAGGCAGAACCACTGAACCTTTTCCGGCCCTTTGTACTGCAACGAAGCACTTACAGAAAAGCTATAGACATGTTTCACGAGATGCTTAAAAATACATCAGCTTTAATTAATGAATATTCCATTCATGTTCCAAATGGACGGGCAACTCCACTAAATAAAGAACTCTGACAGTTCCTTCTTTGACAGCTACCATATATGCAAATCTCCCCATGGGAGAAGACATATACATGTTTTAGAATTTACAGATATCTGTATGACAAACACCATTCTCTTTTTCTTTCCAATGATCTTGGCTGATATTTATGCAACCTTCAACATTTTTACCACTGTGTATTTCTTTGTTGTAATGAGTTTAAGCAAGGAAAAACATTTTTAATTTATTATATTACAGTTTTAGGAATATAGCGGAATCTGTGTTAAGTGTTTTATTATTGCTGCTGTGGCAAAGTACCATAGACAGACTGAAAAAGAGTGCCTTATTTACAAGATCTAACGGATGATGTACAATTAAGTAATAGATCTTCAGTCTTGTTCCCTTCCCATTGGAATAAAACTCTACTGCCTGGATTTTTTAAATGTAATTTTAAATTAGTTTAGATATATGTACATGGTTACATGGTTATATGTACAACACATGTTCAGTATAACTTTATGCATTTGACAGTGCAATTCCAAATTATGCCTTTAGAAGCATATCCTACTAAATATGGAACAGCTTACTTCTAAGGGATCTCAACTTAAATAGGCTTGACATATTTGGAGTCAGAAACTCTTTAGCAGATCCAACTTTGCTCATCTTCACTGAAATGAATTCACCCCTTTAAATCAGTAAGAATAATCCCCAAATCTATGTAATAACATAAAATCAGGCTCCTGGATAACCTTTCTACATTGCATGGAATATTACTTCTTCCATGACTTGTGTGTCATCCAAATACCCTCTCAAATGTTTCCTCTGATTGCTTTAATTTCCCTCAAAAATACAGTTTGAAAGAACAAAAGCAAACAAATAATTCCCACATGTAGTTTCATTTAAAAACTGGCCAACATCATTTGGGGCCATGCATTTGTCTAGTTTGTACAGTGCAGGGTACAAACTAGGCATTTGTTTTGTCAAAACCAGAAATTCTAGCAATAGGTTGCTGATCTTGTAACTGAAGGTGGAGCAGAAATGTCTTATTTTTGAGCTTTGCCAGGATTATTATCAGCCAAACACTTTTAAAAGAGCCCATTCACTCGGAAGATGGGACTTTGTTTTTGACTTTCTGCTCTCTGGACTGCATTCCCTTTTATTTCTTAGATAAGAGGCTTGCTTTGCCACTCTGTTCCAGTGGCAAATACTAATTTTCAGAGGGAAAAAAGTTTTCTACAATAATGACCAAATTGCTACTTTTGTGCAGCAAACTTCAAAGAATAGTCTGAAGTGAAGACTGCTTAAAAACCAAATCTACATAAGATTGAATTAGAAATACTATAGGCAAGATTACTCACCAGTATACAAGCTATTGTGTGTGTGTGTGTGTGAGAGAGAGAGAGAGAGAGAGAGAGAGAGAAACTAAAAGTGGTGAACATTATTTATCTTCCTGCCTCCTATTTTCCCCTCAACAACAACCACCCCCATTAGGTGGGTTATGCTTAGAGAGATCGACTGGCCCAAAGTCACCCAGCCACCTTTCATGCCTGGAGGCCGCCTAAAACTCAACATCTGGTTTCTAAGCCAGCACCTTCACCACTGCAGCACCCACCCTCTCCATCATAAGCATTTATTAATACTTTTTGTGGCCATCGGTGATTTCCAGAAGCTATAGAAAACACAGAAAACTGTTGATTACATTCTGATACAACACAAACAAATCTTAAACCAGTGATTTAAGTGATTTTTAAAAACCAGTGGTTTTTAGCTATACTGACACATAATTCTGAATGTAGTTTTGCAATGACGTGAATCATTCCTGCACTGAGCAGCAGATCAGACTCAGTAGCTTAAATTATCCCTTCAGATCTAATTCTACAGCAGCTACACAGATAGGGCAACTCTGTATTTGCATATTCATTATCAAATATTTATAAAGTCCATCTTTCATTCAGTGCTTCTCTTTACTAACAGAAATAGTCAAATTATTCCTGATCTAACAGTGTTTAAATAAGGCTAAATAATGCTGCTATATAAGCTTTTCATGCACTCTTGGAATACAATGAATCTTTGCTTGAACAGACCTTGACTGGTCAAAATCTGTTGCTATTTGCATGACTTCATTAAACGAATAACAATTTATATTATTTGTATGATGTCATTATGCCAATGACAATATGACTCATTTAAGTTTTGAAATTTTCTGTCGTAAGTTATATTGATAACTTCTATGGAATCTTCCCAAAAGTTATAGCGATAATAAATAAGTTCCAGTTCTGATCAGTAGATTCTACAGGAAACAGCTTCCTAATGTATATCGGATCTGTTCAACCATCATATATTGTATATCTGATCCATCCGTCCCCCATATAAATAGCTGCTCTTTCAGTGTAAAATGGGCAAAGCTGTTTGTTGAGTCTTTTGTTTAGATTGAGAATGAAAATTAAACAAGTCCAATCTCCAATAGAAAACAGTATGGCAATCTCATCAAATAAATATACAGTAGTCCTTGACTTATGACTGGTCATTTAACTACCATTCAAAGTTATGGTGGCCCTGGAAAGAGTGCTTTATGGCCTATAAACATTTTCAACCAACATAAAAGGTTGTGTTCCCCCACACCCACCACATAACCTGACTGCATTTTAGGCATGTGGCTCCTATTGACATATGGTTGCCAAACACTAGGTGATCAAGTGATTGCCATTTGCAATCTTTGCTAGCTTTCCCAGAAAGTCAGTGGGGAAGCTGGCTACGAAATTTGCAAGTAGAGGGAGCCCAAATTGAAGGGTTTCTGCAGCCCACTGAAGGATTTTTCCTCCATACACGGAGAACTGAAATTTCAGCACTGAGCTGAAATCCTCCTGACAAGCAGCAATTTCATCCTGTCCTCTTAGCAATCTAAGAGATTGCTCAACCAAAAAAACTGGGAGTGTCAAGATTGTGATTGTTGAGCAAAGCAGTCAGGCAAGTGTCTCACTTTAACTATTGATAAAAGGGGGTTTGGACATAAATTTTTGAAAAGATAATTCTATAATGCAAATCCCAAGAAAAAGAAAAATGGTTGAAAACTGTGTGTCTACATTTTTAAAAACCATGACTCTGGAAAACTGGGCTTTCTTAAAAAGACTGAAAAATCCTTTGTGCCATCTATGGTGTCAGAATGTCCATTTTCTGCTCACATTCTTTTTGCAGGCAATTTCTGCACTTAAAAATGTTTCTTCTATTCATGTCAACAATATGCTATATAACTGATTCCTTGTAAAATACAGGCTCCAGTTAATAGGTCTATTAAACAGCCCTCTGTGACTCCAGTTATTTTAAGTAATTACATGGTGGAAGTGGAAAATACCTGTCATCTTTCCCTGTCAGCACTATTTCTAGTTTTGTCACAGTCTTGTAACAAGTCTCTCAGGAGAAACAAAATACGTTGTAAAAAATCCACAAGTTCCTTCGGGGTATTATTGAACATCTGTGAAAAGCTTTATTAAAGTTTTAGTAAGAAATACAATTTTTAAAACTTCCTTTAATTTTAATTTGCCTATTTCAAAAGTTACACTATAAGAAAGCAAAGCTGAATTCATAGAAAAATCAGAAGTGGTTCAAGAAGTGTGTATACACAGGCTCTCTTTAATAATTATTATTATTTAATAATAATAATAAGCATTCCTTTTTCATGTCATTTTAAGCCATAAGCATGGTCTATACACATACAATAAGCCAAAAACAAAAACAAACAGTAGCTGAGTAGTAAAACCAACGTTCCCTCTAATTTCTGTCATGCTGTGTAGAGGGGGAGAAATCTTTGTGCAGCTTTTCACAGAGTACAAATTATAAATATATGAGTAAATTGCAAATACCCATAATAGCAAGTTAAAATATTCACATTGTAGATTATAGAAACTTGAAAGTAAGAGTATGTCACATACACACTTAAAAGTTGGGCCTTGAAATTATTTATCCCTGTTGGCAACTGCCCCCTACAGTTTTCATGGCAACATTTTGAGAAGTGGCTGAGGACTAGAATACAGTGTAGCCTAACACTGTAATCACTAAAGCCAACTGGCTCTACACGTATATTTTATGGATTATAAACTCGCTAGTGACTGATAACTATAATGCCCAGAAGCCTCAACTGATCCAGAATCCAACAGTGCAGACGGCGATGCCTCAGTATGTCAATGTAAGATCTTTGCTTCATGAGCTGCATTGGTTGTCAGTTTTTGGGTGCAGTTAAAGGTACTTGTTACTTATAAAGCTGTAAATGGCATGGCATGGCTACTTGAGGGACCACCTGTCTGTCATAGTATCTGGCTGATTCAATCTGACAGGATTGGCATGCCCTGGGTTCCTTCACTTAATGCCATTTATTGGAACCCCAAGAGTGCCCGTTCTGTGTAGCTGCACCTGCCCTCTAGAATAAGGTTCCCCTCCAGATAGCTCCATCTTACTGGTGTTTTGAAGGGGCTTCAAGTCTGGGCTGTTCTCTCAGGCCTTTAGAGAACGTGAGAGAAGCCTTGGATTCTTTTCTGTTCCAGTTTAATTCTGTCTTTTTGCTATATTTCTCTCCTATGTTTGCTTGCAATTTTAAAAATGATTTTTTTTTAACTTGTTAGCCACCTGCAGTTGTCGAGAGTCAGGTGCTATACACATTTAATAAGTAAAATGTTTTATAAACATTTCAACAAAAAAAATTAAGTATTACACAAAAATTCTATGTAGAGTCTCCATTTTGTTTTTTTCTCACATTCTTTTATGGATATATTCTAAATTTATTAATTTAAAAATTACATCTTTAATAAACATGTATTAACAACAATCATGATTCTTGTGCTATCTTAAACTCAACAGATATTAGATCTTTTGTGGAGGGAGGATGGGGCAGTCTTGTGCAGGTTCTGGAGTCACATCCAGTGTATTTCCAGCTGGGCATGATCTAGAGCAGGGATCTCCAACCTTGGCAACTTTAAACCTGGTGGACTTCAACTCCCAGAAATCCCCAGCTAGTAAAGCTGGCTGGGGAATTCTGGGAGTTGAAGTCCGCCAGGCTTAAAGTTGCCAAGGTTGGAGACCCATGATCTAGAAGACGATGGCTGCCTGAAGTCTTAGGAGCCGCCTCCTCGTCTGTGCCACAGCAGCACTGAGTAATGGTCTGTTTAAGGTAGCTTTGCTTTCTTTGCTATATGTTTTAAACATCAACAGGCCATATAATAAAAAGTATACCTAACAAAAAGTTTTGGGTTTTTTTCTGGTGTTCCCAGCACCACACCTTCCCTTCCCCCTGGCAAACTTCCCACATTGCAGGCTGAAACAAAAGCTCATAAAACATGTCTGAACAGTCACACAAGGTAGTCCCAAAGTGTTTTCCACTTGATGTGGGTTCAGTGAATTGATTTTGACTTTATGCCATTAGACTCCATTTAAATGTATCTCTATTACTGACTTAGTTCTTGCTACTTCATAGTTCCTTCCACAGCAATGCAAATACGACTAGTTTTAATTTTAATTTTATAGACATTAAAAATGGATTTAAATCTATACAAAATGCCATTCATTCAACTCAGATTTGCCTATATTGAGATGGGTAGACTTGAGACTTGTAGGATCTACAACTTTTTTTCACTACCATGCAGGGTCTGATACAAAGAAATGCATTTAAGTATTAAAGAATTTTGAGTGTAAGAAAAGGACCACCTACCTTGGCTCCACCAAATAAAGGTGATTTTGTGACAAGTTCTGATATACCGGTACATTTGCATGCTAAGTACTGTTTAAACAAATCATACCCCTTACAGAATCCCTAAGTAAACAGGAGTTAATACCATCTACATACTACTAAACATTTTCATTTAGCAAATTAGAATTCGTAACCTGCAATTTACATGGAATGCTTTATAAGTTTAAAATAAGAAAATAATATAGTAAGTGCAGATGCTTAGCCAGTTGATTTTTTTTTCTTGTCTTGGCAGTAAAGTCATTAAGCCTTCAGAATGTGATTATTAGACTTAAATTACCCATTCAAGACAATTTCACAAATGAAAAAAATAGCTTCTCAGGTTGCATTGATCTTTCTACTTTCAAAAAACATGGGCAGCTATAAGTATTGTCTAGGCATTTGAAAATGAAGATACTTCACTTACAAAGCGGGACAAGTCTATTTTGAAACATCTGTGACTTTTCCAGGTATTTGCAGCTGTGAGAAACATTAGAAATTAAAATTACATGGAATTGTGGAAGACATCATATCAGGGGTGCTATTCAGCAGGTTCTCACAGGTTCTGGAGAACCAGTAGTGGAAATTTTGAGTAGTTCGGAGAACCGACAAATACCACCTCTGGCTGGCCTGAGTGGGGTGGGAATGGAGATTTTGCAATATCCTTCCCCCAGGAGTGGGGAGGGAATGGGGATTTTCCAGTATCCTTCCCCTGGAGTGGGGTGGGAATGGAGATTTTGCAGTATCCTTCCCCTGCCATGCCCACCAAGCTACACCACTCTCACCAAGCCACGCCCACAGAACCAGTAGTAAAAAAAATTGAATTCCACCACTACATCATTTATCAATATCAAGAAAAATTTCTACTACAACCTCCCCATAGTAAGGTTTCAGAACTCATAAATCACTGCAAATTTAGCTGTTACTGCAGTAGTCCACACTGTTGTACATTATTGTTTATATAACCACAATCTGCATGTGTCAAAAGGAAACCTTTTCTCCAATCATTGCACAAAAGTCATTGTCTATATATGTATAAGAAAATCTAGGTAAATGTCAAATGCTTTAAACATTAGATGCTCTTTGAACTAATGAACCAATTAAACTCTTCATTCACAGCTACACAAGATACACTTGGAGAAAAATTAGTGAAGTATTTAAAGAAAACTTTCACAATTGTTAAGCATTCAGGCAGCTCTAACTTTTGGGGATTCTGTGGCAACCAATATCACAGGCAATGATGTGCAAGTGGAAGCAAATAGGGATTCAACTAAATGTTCCAAAGCCAAGCTGAAATACAAGTGGATATTTCAGTAAGATATTGATCTGAAGCCTACCTAATTATGCAATATTTACATGAGTGAAGGATAAAGATTTTGCCATGGCCTTCACAGTCCCCAGCTTGAACATAATTAAAAATCTCAAACATGCAGTTTGTGCAAAGAGATCTAAGATATTTCAGAACAATACAAGTTATGTAAGGAAAAAATTCCGGAAACAAGAATATCTACTTTTAGCTGGGTACAGGAAATGTTTAACTGCTGCTATTTTTGCTATTTTCTAAACAAACGAAAGTTACTATGTCTGACCTGCTCATGGTTTTGTTATGGCTTTGTTATTTTGAGCCTGTGCATTTGTTAAGTATGCATAAATTTCCAGGAAAGTGTGTTCAACTTTGTACCATGTAGATGTACATCTCATTTATGTGCAGCTTCATGTTTGATACAACTGTACTTACATTATTACCTTGGGGAATACTCATGCTGCTACAAACCAGCACCAGGTAAAGAAACAAGTATGCAAAGTTTCCAGAACCAGATGGGATCATGCGTTAGAAGAGAATATTATTCTCAATTTGAATTAAATTGAATATTTGGCCAAATGTGATTAGACAAACCCTAACACCTGAACTAAAGAGACACTAATACTTCAATTTTACTTTGATTTAAAGTCAAGACTTAAATATGGAACAATAAATTTATTGTTGGGACTGACAAAGGTAAGTTCAAGCCTGAGATGGAAGATTGTGTCCCCAGGTAAATATAAATAAATCAAAACCAGAAGCGTGCATTTATCATACTGATCTCAATTTAAGTGCCAGCCAACAAAACCAAATGGCTTTCTATATAGTTGCCTTCCCAATCTGATTTCATCTACATATACTATACTGCTGTAGTGATATTGCTTGCTGAAAGTGTCTGGGAACATCACAAATGGCAACTGAGCATGTTGTTAACATCATAAATGCACGATAGTTGCCAAGAACTCAAATTATGGTCATGTGATTGTGGCGACGCTGTGACAATTGTAAGAGCAAAGGCTGGTCATAAGTCACTTTTTTCAGTGTGTTGTAGCTTCAAACGGTTGGTAAAGAAATGCTTGTTAGGTGAGAAATACCTGTAATTTGTCTTAGCAACATTATATTTGGATATGCTGGCTCTTCATGCAAAACGTAAAATGAAAAAATCTGAGGGACACTGTGAGAATTATATTTTTAGATGCTCTCAAAAATAGTCATGGTTCATCTCTCTGCCAAACTGAAACAATACAGAAGAACCAAAGTAACTTCCCAGTTACATTGCTCTAGGGACAATAGTTTTCTATGCATGCCAGTTTGCTCAAATATCCTATCCAATTGCCTAAATAAGGGAATACAAAATGGAAGGCTATAGATCAGTGGTGGAATTCAAATTTTTTTACTACCGGTTCTGTGGGCGTGGCTTGGTGGGCATGGCTTGGTGGGCGTGGCAGGGAAAGGATACTGTAAAATCTCCATTCCCTTCCCACTCCAGGCGAAGGTTACTGCAAAATCCCCATTTCCTCCCGATCAGCTGGGACTCGGGAGGGAGAGAATAGATGGGGGCGGGGCCATTCAGAGATGTTATTTACTGGTTCTCCAAACTACTCAAAATTTCTGCTACCAGAACTGGTCAGAACCTCCTGAATATCACCTCTGCTATAGCTTCATAATAAAGCACAGTTTTTGCATAGAAAGCATCCATGGTTCAATCTTTTGACTTGCTGATGACACAAATATGTCAGTGATTGTATATAAATCTACTTCCAATGTTCTTGGAATTGTCCTGCATCCTTCTCTTATAACATCCTTCCAGGAAAAATTCTGGATTTGCTCACAGGCATTTATAGTTCAACCAACAGCACAGCCTACTAATTTCTAAGCTTAATTCATGCCATCCCATACCCTGCTATATATTTTTACTAGCCGCTGCAAATAAAATGAAGACTGCATGTGAAGTGTTTTTATTCATGAAAGGCAATAATCAATTTTCAGAGACAAAGTCAAATTGATACGTCCTCTAAGCAGATAAATAAGGCAAATAAGTCAACATCGTCATTTAGATTGGTAGGAAGATAAGGGTAAAAAAAGCTTTTCTTCCTGATCAATGTTGGCCATTTTCCTTTTGAAAGGGAAACATTTATTGCAGATAATTACCATTTCAGTGCAATTATATACTGGTTGAATAACATACCACAAAACATATTAAAGCTGAGCAAAGCATTTCAGATATCAGATGACATGCTGAAGCAATAGCTGTCAATATCCCTTGTCATCCACTGAAAAAGCTTCCCATAGTTTTCAGAGCCCATAATCACAGGCCTCAAGACTACTATTGAAATATAGTTCAAGGAAGCCCTTGAAGATTTGAGGATCAGTTATTGTGGCCTGAACAGCTGGATCTAGCTTCATCAAATCAATCCAGCATTTTAACCCTGGAGTATGGTCCAAACATCTGAAAAAGAACAGAAAGAGATAACAGTGAAACTTTGAGGCAATTATCTTTGAGCATCTTGGGACACCATTAAGACATTCCTAAGTCAATAATATAGAAAGAATCCAGGTTCAATATCCAAGTAAAACTGGGAAAGAACATTGTCTGATGCCCTGCCATCATTAATTGGGGTGGAGAACATACAGGTAGTTCTCGACTTATGACCACAACTGAACCCAAAATTTCTGCTGCTAAGAGAGACATTTGTTAAGTGAGTTTTGCCCCATTTTACAACCTTTCCTGCCACAGTTGCTAAGTGAATCATTGCAGCTGTTAAGTTAATAACATGGTTGTTAAATGAATCTGGGTCCCCCATTGACTTTGCTTGTTAGAAGGTCACAAAAGGTGATCACATAACCCCAAGAGATTGCAACCATTATAAATATGAATTGCCCAAGCATCTGAAATTTGATCATGTGACCTTGAGGACGCTGCAACAGTCGTAAGTGTGAAAAACAGTAATAAGTCACTTTTTTCAGAGCTACAATTTTGAAAGGTCACTAAAGGTGCTGTTGTAAATCTAGGACTACCTGTATTGAATTAGATGGCTTAAAACACTTTTTTACATTCCTAATTGTACATAGAAAGATATATGGTTTTCAATTTCTTAAAGGAAAGTCCTACAGATATAGCCAGATAGCTGTAGTTTAACTCAAATGCATAATTTCATTACTTCAAGTTCTATCAGTTCAAATTATAGGGGTTTTCCAGCATATATGATTGGCTTCCCAAACTGTCAAAGGACTACCTAAAAAAGTATAGATGACAATTACCATATGCTAGGAAGTAAATACAGTGTTAAAATAATCTACCCAAAGCTTTCTATTTCCACCTTTGGATTAAAGAAATTGAGGACATTCTGCTAACTCAGATGAGCAGAATATCAACAGATATAATTACATCACACCCAATTCAAAGTAAGGACATGAGCATCTGTCACGAGAAGAAAAATAATGATCGAAATTGAACAGAACTGAATTGCTACTAAATTCTGGTTCAGAAAAATGTATTTCATCTACTTGCCTTAGGCAGCAAAGTTAGAAGATGAATGGACACATTCAAAACAGAAAAAAGATGATTCTCCTATTCCAGGGCCATCAAACTCCCGGCCCATGGGCCGGATGCATCACACACTGAGCACGCCATGGTCGGTTTAACAAAGGGGAGGGGGGGAGAAAGTCATGATATGTCACATGATGCCGCCATGACAATGTGAGTTTGACATCCCTGTCCTATTCTCTTTTGCCTCCTAATGACGTCGCTTCCATGTAAATTAAAAATAAAACACATGGAGCTAGTACAGCTCTCCTGGCAGTAATCTGCAAAAGTAACCATGCACAAGATTTAAGAGCAAAAACGATAAATGAGTCAAAGCACTTACTCAAGTAACTGGAAGGCTTCTATCCGTTCAAACCAAGGCCAGATTAGATAATCAATCATGGATACTGAATTTCCACCAAAGAACTTAGTTTTGTGGTTTGCAAGCATCTAAGATATAGGGAGATGTGACATTTCTAAATAAAATGCAAGGCATGACACCATAATAACAGAAACTAAATACGGAAAGTTGAGAAAAATTATAAAGATAGTTCACTGCAATTCTTATTCTGATCATCTGTAAATTAATGTATTTATTTAAATTATTTCTATGCTGCCCAATTGTGTTAACACTGGTTGGTACAGGTTACATTAAATCCAAATTTTTAAAAATGCACAATAGATCCAGAAATGTTAGCGCCAACGTATTTCCTTTCCTAAAGCTCAGTCTATTATTAGGTTTAAGCTATTTAGAGTTAAAACTAAATCATTTATAAATATTGTAAAATCAGATTTTAAAGAAGAAAATTATGAGAAATTTTTTTAAAAAAATCTTAGAAGTGCTTAAAAATAGAAGCATCTATAAAAATGAGAGGAAATGAAGCAGGAAACAGAAAGTAAAAATGGATACCTGCAGAAACAACCACTTGAAAGAATCTTACAAATTAGGAGTACAAAGATTTTCACTGTAAACAGCTGCATCCATGAATCTTCATAAAACTCAAGCTCTGATCAATTCAAGTACCTTGGAAGAGTTTTGAGTAGAGATCACCTCTGCTTCAAGTTCAACAAATTCTCAAAGCTTCCAAAATGCCAGAAATAACTCTTTTGAAATATGAGTTTCAAGACATTTTTCCAAGTCTTGCATTCAGACTGGCTTGAAACGAAGTATTTTGTACATCCCTATTACAAACATATTTCCACTAATGAGATTGTATTTCTCCATGCACAAGTCGTTAGCAGGGATATTCCATCGCCTTTAAAATGACTTAAATATTAAGAGATTTTAAGAATATGTATTAATGCACCAGTAAGACTCACTTCTAATTTGTACTATTTTGTTAACAGGAAGGGATAGGGACAAAAATGAAGGCATCAATTAAATTCATTAATCCACAGCTCTCCAGGTATCCTGTCATCTAGGGTATAGACAGTTACCTGTCTAGGGCAGGGGTGCTCAACTCCCGGACAGCAGCTTGGTACTGGATTGCAGTTTGTTGGGAACTGCGCTGCACAAGTGGTGGGTGAGTGTACAAAGTGCCATTTGTGGAAGTGGCAGGCCTGTGCACAAAAGCATCCTCTCTCCCCCACCGCCGGCTGTCCACAGAGCTGGGAAGGTTGGGCACTGCTGGTCTAAGGTATACCTGAAGTACTTTCTTATTGCTGTGTGAACATGTGACTTCTACCAGATTTGTTTTGTAAGGGAAGGGATTGGATAGAAATGAGGGATATAATCTTGTGCGTTCAGTTTGGACCTAAAACAAAGGTCTGATCTTCACACCACCTTATCTCAATGAAATACATGCACATCATCTCTCATACAATATAGACACTATTGGTTTGCCAACCTTTCTACCTTGCTAAAATTAGGAGTACCAGAAAGAATGTTAGGAATTAGAATCTATCCAATAAGTTCAAAAGGAGAAACTGTGGAGTCCTAAAAAGAATGAAAAATGAAACAGTGAATCAATCAGCAAGAGTGACAAGAGCTTTACATCTCTTCAGAAGCCGTGTATGAATTTGCTGGGATTTCAGGAAGAGAATAATAAGTCCATATTATTGAAGCTTGGGACAATGACAGAAAGACAGCTGCAGCCTGATTCCTAGTGCTGCTGCTTTGTGGATTCTTTTCTCTTTCCATTCTACATCCTCCTGAATCTATAAGCCCCTCTCCTCCCTTTCTGTGGAAGAAGTGTTGTAAAAACATGTACCTGCTGAGTTTGTGCTGGTTTGGTTTTTCTTAAAATAAAAATTATTTTTTATAAGTTAGATAAATCTTTAAAAGATGCAAGAAGCTTAAGGGACACACAGTTGTTAAGACTTATGCCATGCAACTTCCCTGTAAAAAGAGTAACCTGCAAGAGTCTCAGACAAAACCACATCTACTCAAGTACTGTATGAGAATCGCTCCCCCTAGGAGATTCAAGCAACTTTGTATAAATTGAATGAAGTTATTTAAACTAGAAGACCTGGCAGTTCAGTGTACCTCTATAAAAGATACTGTTAAGATCAGACTATCACATAATAAAAAGCAACATTGTTCTTATAATGGCAAGGAATGGTGGGAACAGAATAGAAAAGTTCACCTAGAGTATACAGTATGTCAATCAGCATTCAAGAAATGCAGGGAATTCTCTACTTCATTTTTTCCCCAAGTTTCATGTCTTCTAGAACTATTCTGCCAATTAAGGTCATCAACCATTTACCTCTTCAAGCTTCAGAAGTTTTTCCTGGAACTCATTCTTTAATTCTGATGCATCTTCACCATTCCTAAAAGCCCGAATATAGTTGAAGCATATTGGATGCAACTAAATAAATCAGAAATGATACATTACCAAGCTGCACAAAAGTATAGGATTTTTATTCAAGAAACAAAAAATTACTATGGGAATACAGAGATATCAACAAGGAAGACAATAAATTGTCCATATAAATAAAAATAGGATCATGTATGTTAGTACAACTGGGACCAGAATTTCCATTGCTAAGCCAAGTGTCATATTGCTTAGTGTCAGCAATCCCTGATGTTAAACAAGGATTGTGGATTGTTAAGCAAACACCTCCTCACCACTGCCATCTTCCAAAAATCAATTTCAGCAGAAAAGCTGGCAGGAAGTTGCTAGTATGAGGTGGCTTGCAAGCTGGCTGCCAGGCAGGTAAGTGGAAGCAGGCCACGAAAGCATGGGCCAAATGCATCAGGGCTTGAAGTGGTTGCTGCTTGGTGGGAGATGATGCTTGAGAGTGCACAAGTGGAAAGGAGGCATGCCACAAGTGCAGTGGGCTTGGGCCGGCTGCTGCTGGATAAGAGGATGCACAAGCGTTCCTAAGTGGCAGATAGGCATGGTGGAAGAGGGTGCGCAAGGGTGTGTGAATAGTGAGGGGAGCACCATGCGAGCACAGCGGGACTAGGGTGGCTACGGTCAAGACGGAGAGGTTGTGCAAGGGTGGAAAGAGTTCACAAGGCTACATGAGTGGTGAAGGAGATACAATACAAATGTGGCAGAGCCTGGGGTGGTTGTTGCCCCCTATTGGAGGGCAGGTGCCCAACGGTCTGTGAGTGGCCAGGGAGGATGTGCAAGTGGCTGGAGAGGCTGGGCATCAAGGGTCAGGGAGAATGCACAGATGGAGGAGACTTTCCCAAGTAACTTGAGACATCCCTGCTGGCTTCCCTATCGACTTTGCTTCTGGGATACCAGCAGGGAAGGTTTCAAATGGCGATCATGTCAATTTAGGATGCTACAACTGTCGTGAGAATCAGTTGCCAAGCTCCCAAATCGTGATCAAATGACCACAGGTTGCTGGGACAGACAGAACGTCCAGGACTAATTGTAACTAACCATTATTCAACACCACTGTAATTTTGAATAGTCACTGAACAAGTCGTCATTAACCAAGGACTATCTGTATTTATTTAACAGCTCCTATAAGTAATCCCAAGATCATAGATTTGAGATCCTTTTGAATAAGGCAGCATTAATCACATCCAGTGTAGTTTGGAGTTATCAAGCATTCAGAACTTAGAATTTTTTTTAAAAAAAAAGTTCCTTTAATTTACCTTATATGAGCTATAGATGATAGTAACTATTCATCTCTAAACTACCTATTTATTCCTTTGTTGACATTGAAACTCACCATATTGCCTTCACTTCAGAGAGTAATATTTATCTTTCCAAAAGAGTTTTCATTAACCAACAGAATTTTCACTCAGTGATCCTAAAACCTTTGATGTGTTCTTCATACTCTTTAGTAAATAATCTAAGGCAGTGTTTCTCAACCTCAGTAACTTTAAAATGTGTGGACTTCAGCACCCAAAATGCTAGCTGGGGGATTCTGGCTGAACCTGGGGGAAGAGTTCATAGAAGAATCAGCCTAGAATCACATGAACTAAATTCAACCTCTCGAATTCCATTGACCTTATCTAACTCCAAGCTTGTGCTACCCGCTAGTACAATATATCCCTAATCATAGGCATGAGTAGCAATACATCAATTGACTTGGAGACCTGATCTTTTGTGCCTGACATGGTTTCCACACAGACATGGAATGATTTAATATTTGGGAAGAAAGAATATGAAACACAAATCCCTAACCTAACAAAATCTTTGCCTTTCAGCACATCACTCAAATTGATGTCTGGTTCAAAGAGTATAATTAGATAATAAAATGCTACTTTCCTCTCTCACTTAGGAGTCACAAATCTTCCGTAATCATTACAGACCCTTTTATCTATTTTTCAACTTTACCTCATATATTTCTAATGAAGTATCTAATCAAATTACCATATTTTAGGCTTCATTTGTGCAAGATATCATAGAAAGTATATTATAGCAGAAGCGGCTAGTTTTTAAAGCACTGAATCACACATAATTTAAACCCTAGACCTCCACCTAGCATGAGGTTATGAGCCCAGTTATTTTAAGATGATTCATTACCTTTCCTTCCATCAATGAATCTAATCTTTCATAGAATTCATTTTGCCTATTCATACACATATTAAGACTCAATGAAGAAGAAAGCCATACTTTCAAATAGATTTATTAATGCAATTTCAAAATATCAGGTTTTATTCTAATCTTCCACACTAAAATGAATTTCTTGCTATGTTTAGTAATACCTTGGAGAAGTATTCCAAAATCATTTTCTGATAAGCTTTTTCATAAGGATCTGCAGGGTACAACTTCTTTTCAGGGTAAGCTTCATCCAAATATTCACAAGTGATTGGAGATTCATTGATCAGCTGACCCTTGCTTGTTTCTAGCACAGGTACCATTCCAAGTGGGTTCTTCTCAAAAAACCACTCTGGTTTGTTCCTCAAATTGATATTAACAATTTCATGGCTAAATAGAATGAGATGAAACCATCAGATTAATTATTTCAGGAATCTATTACTAAGACACTCTATAAAAATGAGGTGATTCAAAGTTGTTGTGGGGAAAATAAGAGGAGGAAGGTATATTGGATATGTTCATCACCTTAACCTATTTGTAAAAATAGTAAAGACAGGATACAAAAATAAAAAATACAACTAGTAATTTCCTGCTTTATGCTGTTTGAAAAATACAACATGATAATATTAACTCTTGGAAACCGAAAAAGAAAACTTTAGATTCTGATTTTATGGATACATCTGTGTGTCTCTGTATAAGGCTGTCTCTGCACCATCCAGCCAGGAAATCAAAACAGTTAATGGCTTGCATCTGCAGACTGACACTATGCTCCATAATAGTTTTGGATTTCATGACACAGCTAGGAAAGTCCCCATTAGCATTTAGCAAAGGGGAAAGAAGTCCCGATACGTCACGTGACACCACCGTGACAATGTGAATTTGACACCCTTGTTCTATAGCATTAAGAGAAGGAAAATAAGTGCTTTTAAATACAATTTTTATACGCCCAAATATCTACCAGCACTCTGCTAATTTTCAACCCAACAGGTGTTGGTATTTTTACATTAAGCCCTAATGAATATGGAAGGCAAAGTATCTGCTCATACTTGATTCCTTTGGCTTTTAGGACGAGTACTGTTCTCTGTGCAAAAGGGCAGTGACGCATACTGTAGACCCGGATGGTTCCTTCAGGCACTGGGCCTGGAGCAGGAGTTCCTGAAAGACAATCTCCAGTCAGAATTAACAAAAACTACATTCTACCCTGCAAACAATAAGCCACCCAAAAATAGGGCATGAAGAAGTATAATAAGTTGAGAGAGTCCTCAATTTATAACAGTTCATTTAGTGACTTTCGAGGTTACAATGGCACTGAAAAGAAGGACTTATGACCATTTTTCACACTTATGACCATTGCAGCATCTCCATGGTCACGTGATCAAAATTCAGAAGCTAGGCAACTGACTCATATTTATGACGGTTGCAGTATCCCAGGGTCATGTGATCACCTTTTATAACCTTCTGACAAAGTCAATGGGGAAGCCAGACTCACTTAACAACTGTGCTACTAGCTTAATTGCAATTAACAACTTAACAACTGTTGCAAGAAAGGTTATAAAACACGGCAAAATTCACTTAACAAATGTCTCACTTAGCAACAGAAATTTTGGGCTCAATTGTAGTCGTAAAAGAAAAAGAAAAAAGGACTTCCAACTGACGTCACGGCAAGATCAGACCTGAGGAGTAGGTCTCCGTGCTCTCACGCCGAGTTCTCCGCATTGGAGGGCTCTGAAAGGAGTTAAAGCCACCCTGTAGGAATGGTGAAAAAAAGAGGGGCACCCTGCAGGTCACAGAGACCAGCAACTCTCCTGCCTGACCCAGGGCTTCTTCCCTCTCATCCACGATGAGGAGAAGAGGTAGTTATCATGATTGACATGAAGCTGGGACAGCTGAGGCAACAAAGAAATGTGCAGGAGCCATGTATATGAACAGTGACTGGAGCTGGGTGAGAAGATTCCTTTTGTATTTAGACCCTAAGTTTAAGAGAAAAAAAGGAAAAGAGGAAAATCCAGGAAAAGAGACTCTTAGAACTATTCCTTAAAGCGGCGAATAATCATAGAAAGAAAAAGTCCTAGACCCAAAAGAAAGGAATTAAGGGGAGGAAAGCTAAAGACCTTTTAAAACATAGAAAATTGGATTTTTAAACTGGGTAGGTGTTCTTTTGGAAAGGTATTATAAAATGCTGGAACTATTTACTTGAATAGCCAACTTTGCTTTTATAAATTGAACTAAAATTGGATTAATCAATTTACCAGACTTGAAACAACACTGAAACCTAAGCTTAGGGCACCATCTACTGGTGAATGGAAAATATACCATACCCCTAGGAATTCCTGATAAGAGAAATAAACAATATTCATCTGGAGGACTGTGGTAATACTTATTGTTCTATTTTATGATTACTGGAGACTCTATTGTGAGAATAAGGAAGACTCTTAAGTAAAGTAAAGTGACTTTTGATTTGTGAAAACTGCTTAGATTACTTAAATGGAACTGAGTAATAATCCTGAGATGTAAAGGACTATGATTATTGAACCTTCTGAGGAGCAACATTGGACTTGAATAATACCATTGTTTTTGGACTATTGAGTAAGAGCAGGTCTTACTAACATAAGACAATTTGCTCCATCAGAGAGAAATGAGTGAGATTTCAAAAGAAATGGAGTTGATGTTTCAAAGTATTAGGGATACTATGACAAAGAATCACAGAGAGATAAAGAACCTATTGCAAGGTATAAATGGGAAAATAGAAAATATCCTACAACTGATAATGAAGATCAAACAGTCCAGGAAAGAGAGGAGACAGTAGAAAGATTGGAAGAAAAGATAGAACAGACAAACCAGCAAATAAAGGAAGAAGATGAGGAGAAGGAGAAAATGGTAAAGATAATAATGACTGATGAAATAAACCAAGGGAAAAGTACTTTAAGAGATTTAAAAATGAAATTGACTTGGAAAATATTTTTGAAAGGGAGATAGGAGTTTGGGTGGACACTCTGGAGACTTGGCAATTTAGGAGGGTAGAGATGGGAGAAATATTCAGATTGAAGATGCAGATGCTAATAAAGACAAAGATCCAAGAGAGGAATATGGGAAAAAAGCTAAAAAAATGAATAAATATTGAAGTATTAAAACAGGCAAGAGAAGATGAATAGAAAGAAATTATTTCTTTTTTCCCCTTTTTTCTAATACCATGATGGCCTGATTAAAAACTAGAATAGAGGTAGAAATAAGAATACACTCCCTTATATAAAGTAATAGGAAAGATTGGCGGTTGAAAGATGGTATTATTAGGTATGTTTAAATAAGAGGACAATGGGTACTAGAATGGCGTATTTGACTTTGAATAACCAAATAATGAAGGACTATGTCTTAATATAAAAAACTCTATTAACGCTAGGATTAGTAATGGAGGCCTGACTAGTTAGAATAGAGGTAGAAATAAGAAATAGGAGGAATATTAGCAGATATAATTTTTATTTAATAGAGTATAAGTGTAATTAGATGGAAAGATTAGAGGTTGAAAGATGGTGTTAATAATATCACATAATAGCACATAACGTGTGCTTAATAATATCATTGGCATTAAAATGGAACGTGGAAATATTGAACAACTACTCTACAACTACAACTAACGGATTGACTACTGCAATGCTCTTTACATGGGGCTGCCCTTGAGGACCACTCAGAGGCTTCAGCTGGTGCAAAATGCAGCCGCGCGGGTTGTGATGGGAGAATCCCGATACTCCCATGTTACACCCCTCCTGCGCGGCTTGCATTGGTTACCGGTTGCCCTCCAGGTGAGATTCAAGGTGCTGGTGATGACCTATAAAGCCCTACATGGCTTAGATCCAGGATATTTGGCGGACCACCTACAGCCAGCAACGATATCCCATCGCCCGGTTTGCGCCCATAGAGAGGGCCTGCCCAGGGTAGGCTAGACAGTGTCGGCTGGCGGCCCCCAGGGGTAGAGCCTTCTCTGTGGGTGCGCCCACCCTCTGGAATCAACTCCCCTTGAAGGTCCGATTAGTGCCTGACCTTCGCACCTTCTGCCGTGAAATAAAAACTTGGCTTTTCAAATCCCTTGACCTGGACTGATGGGGTTTTAAGGATTAAATTTAATTTTTTTTAGATTTTAGATTTTATTTTGAATTGTGGCTTGTGTTTTTATTATTGTGAGCCGCCCTGAGTCCATTGGGAGATAGGGCTGCATATAAGCAGAATAAAATAAATAAATAAATAAAACAAACAAGTATATCAATACTAGGATTATATAAGTTTGATTAATGTAACAATTATTATCACTGTTTGTATCAAAATGAATTATACCCAGAAGCCACACTGTTTGTATGCATTGATATTGATGTATATTTAAAAATACCCCCCCCCAAAAGAAAGAAAATAGGTAGGGAATAAAACACTCAAAGCAAGTATCCAGTAATTAATGTTACTCATTCCAATATTTGACACAGTCTGCCTTCCTGTAATACGCTACGCTTGTGTACTCTGTTCAAGTTTGTGTGTGGTACAAATTCACCCAGTCTATAGTTCAGTCTTTGCAGAAATCCAAATAAAGTTAATTCAATAAACCAAGATTAAAACTACCCAAGCTTCATGTGTTTTATGAATACAAATACTTACATTTGAGTCATAATAGAAAGGAATGAGTACCAAGAATACAAAACATTCTTTTGTTAGAGTAATCCTTATTGGCCAAATTAAAAGCAATTTTATGCACTCAAGTTTAATGTCTGTTAACATGCATACAGTAAATATACTAGGGCAAGGCTGCTTATCAGAAGCATGCATTCCACCAAAACTCATGGTACACTCCCTCAACACATATTTGGTTGTACAATTTTAGATATTTAGCATTTTTAATCCTGATTATAGTGAAATCCATTCATCGCCTTTGGCCACACAAGACCAGCGATTAGGGGTAACGACATGATATTCCTCCCAAAACTCAATGGCATGTCGCCCCCCAACTCTTGAAAAACGGGTTGCATGAAGACTAGCCTACAGCCCTAGAAAGGAGAGTTGCCTTAAACCAGTTGCATTAGATGAAGGTGCTCCTCCTTGCATCAGAGCGCTTGCTCACCTTTTCCCAAGCTTCTAGCGAATTCCCCAGACATCTTACTTCGGGCCACCAGAAAACGCAACCAGCTGTGCACGTCGGAATTTTCCCTTCAGACGCCGCCTTTTCTCTCCACTGGCCCCTCTATGCAGTTTGGCTCCTCCCTCTTCGTTAGTCGGCAACTCTCCCTCCGCTGAGTGCTAAAGAGTTTCGAGTTGAGTGATTGACATGAAGTAAGTAATTTGGAGGGCTGAGGGAATTGATCTCCTACTACGGCGCTAAACGCTTCCGCGTAGCAAACTGTGGGACACAGTTACTGGTTAACTGTAAAGCTGCGTGTGTATAATCTCAGAAAGGAAGAGTACGAATTCAATCTACTGTGTAAATATGGGTTTGAAAATCAGATACAAGAAATAAAAAGTATAGGAACAGGGTGGCAAATGGATTCTACTCCACGTCCTCTACCCGTGTTTATATTCGCTTTGTCTGTGTTCGGACGTCAGCGTGTCATTTTCTTAGGAGAATTCAGAACGTTCCACACCAGACTAAAGGATATAGTGCTATAAATCGTGTCATGTAAACCCCAGTAACATAGGATTTATACTAAGCCCTGTGATTCAATTTAATGCGTAAATCAGGCAACTTGCCTGAGGACGTGCAAAGGAGCTATGCAGCCAACACAGAAAGGTAAAATGCAACGATCCTCAGAAGCTATATTGTATATTGTAGTGTATTTTTATTATTTATGTTGTTGGATGATTGTTGTTGGGATTGGGTATTTTTGAACTCTGGCAAAGTGCCAAAATCTCTGGATGGGGTGGTATATTAATATTTGTATAAATAAATAAATCAGTAAAACTTTTCTCTCTTGCAAATTATTTCCACTTAAAATAACGCTTACTGGCTGTGCAGACTTAAAATCATGACCAGAAATGGAAAATTAATCCCCCCTCCCTAAAATATCTTTTATATCTGTAAAATGCTGGTTATAATTGATATGCCTGATAAAGTAATGTACATAGTATATTTTAAAACTATATAGCAAATCTATAAAAATATAGCACTAAGAGAACTATCTGAGGGAAAGTTTATAAAAGAAGTAGACAAACCTGTTGGGTCATAGTTCCAGAGATATACTACCTTATTGGATTCTGCAATGCCTTCAACAATGGCAGAACTCCTAATGTACTGAAAAAGTTGTTAAAAACTCAGGAAGACAAATCTGCCTTGAATGGTAGTTCTTGTTGAACTGTATAGCACAATTCAATTCCATGGGAGTGATGGGTTTCAGATTTTGAACACATTCTGTAATTTAGCCCATTTGAAGTACCTTGACTGAAAATGTATTGGCCTACAATGCATTGTTATTATACCCAGATAAAGTTTACAGACATGAGTTTTATTATCCGTAGTAGATAGATGAATGCTTTTTTTTCAAAAACACCACTTTCTTTCACTACATTGAAAATTTTTGTAGAAAGTTCTCTTTCAGGAGTAAAAAATAACCTGATGCCCAATATCTATCTAGATAAATAGCTAGATAGGTATTCCAAAGCTTCTGTTTGTCTCTGCAATTTTGAAATGTTTTCCTCTTATTTCTGGTTTGCAAAGGAATTCAGACTTGGTTCTAAATTGTAGATCAGTCAATGTTCACATTATTGCCACATAGTTTTGAAACAAGTTTGTCATCAAAAAGATGTTTGCCCTACTCTCAACTAAGAGCAACTAAAATTATCAGCACTTTAACAATTTAAACTTGCAAGCAGTTTTAAATCCCAGTTTTAGAAAATATTAACAATAAAATATGTAGATTGTATGCATTTGCAGATCAAAGTATGACCAGGTTTTTCCCAAGCAGATATTCAGCAGGCCTGTTGGGACTTTAAAACCTGCAATTACAGGTTGGGAAATACTGTGTTACCACAAAAAATGCTCTGGAAAACTTGCTAGAAATCTTCCTAGGTTGCCTAATTCTATAGCTCTTATTACTGAAGATTAGTGCAAATATTGGTAATTGCATCTGCATATAATATGACTAGATCCTCCTAAATCCAGGCAGAGGAGGTATCACAGAAGGTCATGGAGAATGAGAAAGCTAACACATCCTGTGGAACTTCCAGATCCAGATATACAGGGAATTACTGGCCAATCAACAGACAAAGTTGTAGTACTGGTAGACAGATGAGTGATGGGTATAGATGTAGCAGTGCAAAGTGACAGCAATATCAGAAGGAAGTATGAGAAACTGGAGAAATGCCAGAGAGCCTGAAGGAGCAACTGGAGAGGATGCGGAAAGTAAAGGCCAAAGTAGTGCCAGTGGTGATAGGAGCATTCAGGGCTGTGATTCCTAAACTGGGAGAGTGGCTCCAACAGATCCTAGAAAAAACATCAGAGCTTTCTGTCCCAAAGAGTCAGTTTGGTTTTAGTGGTTAATGCACCAGGATAGAAAGTGGGAGATCATAAGTTCTGTCTTAGTCATGAAAGCTGGCTGGGTGACTTAGGGTCAGTCACTCCCTCTCAGACAATCCACCTCACAGGGTTACTGTTGTGAGGAAAGTAGGAGGAAGGTGTGTTGGGTTGAATTATTTGTAATAATAAAGACCGGATACAAATAAGTAATATAAAGTGCTAGGAACAGCTAAGATACTGCAAACCCCTCCCAGACATCTGGTAGAGAACCTGAGATTGAGAAAGACTATACCATCCATAAGGGTGAGAAAGGAATTTGTTTATATATACCCACACATTACACATTAGTTGGCCAGTCAACAAGAAAGCCAAGAAACAGGGCTCTTAGCAAATTCAAACACAGTCAGGGTTTTAAAGGTTTATCAAAGGCTAATGGTTAGGCCATATTCCACAAAGCAGGATATTCCACAAAGCAGGGCTACTGAATAAAATGCCCATCTTCTAATCCCCACCAGCTGTTAAGTCTTTGGTTGCAATGTGGCTTTGCAATGTGCCCAATCTGCTAGATTGAATTGGATAGGTAGACACTTGGAAAAAGGCAGTCCAGCAGGTAGCCCAGTCTCAAGCCAGTTAGATTTTATAGTTGACTATCAGCATCTGGAATTGTATCTAGAAACATACCAGTAACTAATAGCAATAGCATTTAAGACTTATATACTGCTTCATAGTGCTTTACAGCCCTAAGTGGTTTAGAGTCAGCATATTGCTTCCAACAATCTGGGTCATTTTACTGACCTCAGAAGGATGGAAGGTTCAATCAACCTTGAGCTGTGAGGATCAAAACCCTGGCAGTGAGCTTAGTCAGCCTGCAATATTGCATTCTAACTACTGGACCACCATGGCTCTTGCCTGACTTAATGGTTTTGTTGTTTTGAATCTGTAACTGTGGGTTAATAAGCGTGCATTCAAATTTGCAGAAAGATATGTGCAACTTTGTACCATGTAGATGTATATCTCATTTATATGGAGATTCATGTTTGATGCAAGTGTTAACCTGCTTTATTACCTTGGAGAGTACTCATGCTGCTACAAACCAACACCAGGTAAGGAACAAGAATCAAAATTTCCTGAACCAGATCAGGGAGTGGATTACAACAGATTTCTACTCTCAATTTGAATTAAATACTTTATTTGATCAAGTGTGATTAGACAAACCCTAACACCTGAACTAGAGAGACCACTATCTAACATTTCAATTTTATTTTGATTTAAAGCCAAGACTTAACATGGAGCAATAAATTTATGGTTGAGCCTGACACATAGGTTCAAGCCTAAGATTGTGTTCCGAGATAAATACAAATAAATCAAAACTAGAAGTGTGCTTTTATCATACTGACCTCAATTTAAGTGCCAGCAAACAAAGCCTATTTAGCCTCCTATTTAGTTGTCTTCCGTAATATGATTTCATCTACATACACTAGACCAGGGGTCAGCAACCTGCAGCTCTGGAGCCACATGTGGCTCTTTCAGCCCTCTGCTACAGCTCTCTGTCACTCAAAATATGCATCACAACCGTCAATATGCGACACCCGCTGGCATGTGATTTATTGAGTTTTTCAATCCCTGGTAGTCAACCATGGATAAATCCAAGAAAATAAAAGTTTCAGAAGAAAACAGAACGTTTAATTCAACTACATGTGTTAGTTTTGTGGTTGCTCAAGAAATAGTCAGGCACAGGAAGGGTTTTGTGGCTCCCGGTGTTTTCTTTTCTGTGGGAAACGGGTCGCAATGGCTCTTTGAGTGTTTAAGATTGCAGACCCCTGCATTAGACTAATATAGTGATATTGCTTGCCGAAAGTGTCTGGGAAGATCACAAATGGCAACTGAGGATGTTGTTGCACAACAGTTGCCAAGAACTCAAATTGTCATCATGTGACTGTGACAACACTGTGACAATTGTAAGGGTGAAGTCTGGTTATGTTACTTTTGTCAGTCTGTTGTAGCTTCAAGCAGTTGCTAAAGAAAAGTTTGTTAAGTGAGGACTACCTGTAATCTGTTTTAGCAACATTATATTCAGATATGCTGGCTCTTCATGCAAAACCTAAAATGAAAACATCTGTTAAACAGTGTGAAAACTACATTTTTAGATGCTCTCAGAACTAATCATGGTTCATCTCTCTGCCATGCTGAAAGACAGTACAGAAGAACCAAAGTAACTTCCTAGACCAGAAACCATTCACCCTAGGGACAATAGTTTCCTATGCATGCCAGTTTGCTCAAATTTACTATACAGTTGCCTAAGAGAATATAAATTGGAATGGCTATATCTTAGTAACAGAATACACAATCCCAAACCCTGCTATATCTCTTTACTTGCTGCTGCAAATAAAAGGAAACCTCTGCATCTGAAGTGTTTTTATTCCTGAAAGGCAAAAATAAGTTTCCAAACAGAGACAAAGTCAAATTGATGTCTATTCTAAACTGATAAACAAGGCAAAAAAGTCAACATTGTTATTTAGATTGGCAGAAAGATAAAGATAAAAAAAGGTTTTCTACCTGATAAATGTTGGCCATTTTCATTTACAATGGAAAACATATATTGCAGGTAATTACCATTTTAGTCCAATTATATACTCATTGAATAACAAAAACACAAAACACAATGAAACTAAAGCATTTCAGATATCAGATGACATGCTGGAATAGCTGTCAATATCCCTTGTCATCCACTGAAAAAGCTTTCCATAGTTTTCAGAGCCCATAATCACAGGCCTCAAGACTATTATTGAAATACACTTCAACGAAGCCCTTATAGATTTGAGGATCAGTTATTGTGGCCTGAACAGCTGGATCTAGCTTCATCAGATCAACCCAACATTTTAACTCTGGAGTATGGTCCAAACATCTGGAAAAGGACAGAAAAAGATTTGAGTTAACAGTGAAACTTTGAGGCAATTATCTTTGGATATATTGCCATTAAGATAGTGTTCAGTGACATTCCTAGGTCAATAATATAGAAAGAATCCAGGTTCAATATCCAAGTAAAACTGGGAAAGAACTTTCTTTGAAGCCCTGTCATCATTAATTGGTATGGAAAATATATTAAATTAGATGACTCAAGACACTTTTTTACACTCCTAAGTGTATGTAGAAAGAAATATGATATTCAACTTGGGTAGGGCTTGACCTCCTTAAAGGAAAGTGCAACAGATATAGTCAGGCAGCTGTAGTTTAGATCCAATGAATACTTTCATTACTTCATTATTCCCAAGTTCTATCATTCAAATTTTTTCAGCATACAGGTAGTCCTTGAATTATGATCACAATTTAGCCCAAAATATGTGTTGTTATAAGACATTTGTTAAGTGAATTTGCCCCATTTTATGACCTTTCTTGCCCCAGTTGTTGAGTGAATCAGTTGTTAAGTTAGTAACATGGTTGTTAAGTGAATCTGGCTTCTCCATTGACTTTGCTTGTCAAAAGGTTGCAAAAGTTGATCACAAGACCCTGGGACATTGTAACCATCAAATATGAACTAGTTGCCAAGCACCCAAATTTTGATCACATGACCATGAGGATGCTGCAACTGTCATAAGTGTGAAAAATGGTCATCAATCACTTTTTTAGTGCCGTTGTAACTTCCAATGGTCACTAAATGAACTGTTGTAAATCAAGGTCTACCTGTATATGATTAGCTTCCCAAACTTCTCAAAATTGGAATAAATATTGCTGACAATTACCATATGGTAGGAAATACAGTGTTAAAATAATCCAGCCCAAACTTTCTACTTTCTACTTACTTTCTCTTCTTAGTTAAGAGGAATAGAGGACTCTCATTTGAAACTATCTCAATATTTGTTTAAATTTTTAAAAGGCAACTGGATCTTTTTTTTTCCTTCAGGAAGAAGAGAATGTTTTGCTTCTCATCCAAAAAGCTTCATCAGTTGTGACTGGATCGTGAGGGGATGGAAGGATAAGTTCTGATAGGTCAGGCCGGGGGAGGGGGGGAGATTCTATTCTTTGCAGTCATCTGGTTGTTAGCATCTCTCTGAGAGCCATTGAGGCCACCTGTGTGTGGAGTTTATCTGTGCTCTCACAGGTCACCTAAATCAGAGTGCAAATGGTTCTGGCATCTTCTTGGAACTACTGAAAGGACTGTGTTGTAGACAGGACATTAGATGGTGTCTTATTCCTCCCACTCTGTTGAGGGAGGACTGTTCTGGATGACTGAGAAGCTCCATAGACTCTCAATATTCTTGTTTGTTCCAAAGCTATTAATTTCTAATTTGCTAAATTAGAAAAGCAGAATGTCAAGACACATCACACCCAATTCAAAGGACGAACATGGGCCTCTGCCATGAGAAGAAAAATAATGATAGTCTAAACTGAGCAGAACCGAATTGCTAATACATTCTGGTTCAGAAAAATGTATTTCATCTGCTTGCCTTAGGCAGCAAAGTTAGAAGATTAATGGACACAGTCAAAACAGAAAAAAGATGATTCTCCTATTCTCTTTTGCTTCCTAATGACATCACTTCCATGTAAATTAGAAATAAAATATAACAGTAATCTGCAAAAGTAACCATGCACAAGAATTAAGAGCAAAAACTGTGAAAGATTCAAAACACTTACTCAATTAATTGGGAGGCCTCCATCCGTTCAAACCATGGCCAGATTAGATAATCAATCATGGATACTGAATCTCCACCAAAGAACTTAGTTTTGTGGTTTGCGAGCATCTAAGATATAGGAAGATGTGACATTTCTAAATAAAATGCAAGACCTGACACCATATTTACAGAAACTAATTTGTAATAATTTGTTAAGAGGGAGAGATAGGGAAAAATGAAGACATTGATTAATAACGAAAACTATCAGAAGAAACAGCTTCAGAAGTGTCCATTTTCCTACACAGAGTAGGTATATTGTTTTCTTGTTTGCTCTCTTCAGAAATTTGATCTGCAGATCACATCACCATGGTTAAATGTATTTTAATCATGGTTTGTTGGATATCAAAATGACAATGTGGCTTACTCTGAAGCATTATTCTAGTCACTGAAAGATGGAAGGGATTATTTCCAACTATTCTAATGAAAAAGCAAAAGTTTAAAATGTCTTCCTGTCATATGGAGAAAACTTCTCTAACTGGTTGAATGCAGAGGTCAGCTGAATGTGGTTCTGAATAATTCACTAGTATTCTGACAGATACACTCATTAGTAACATGAGCTTTGATTGCTTGAAATCTTTTATGTAGCCTTCTTTTGAGAAGGTGACATTATCAGTTCAATCTTTTAATGACCAGAAAAGTACTTTATGGTAAACTCAACAACCATTCCAGTCATTAAAAAGAGAGCTCCCAGGAAAGGGACCATCAAATTCCCAAGGAGGAGAATAGAGATAAAAAGACTTTCTGTATCATCATGCAATCAAAGGCTAGATCTGCAGAGCTAAACTTGAAAATGTCATACCATCAGGTCATCCCCCTGTTATTGGGTGTCCTGCTGTTACAACTTATTGTAGCTGAATCCCTAATTAGATGGAGTGTGATGAAAAGGGAGGTTTCTTGCTGGCTGAGTATGCCAGAGCATTGCCTTCCCTAAACTACCTGCTGATGGTGGATGGTGTAAATTCACATCTCTCCAGGTATCATATCATCTAGGGTGCAATAAATTATCTGTCTAGGGTATACTTGAGGTATTTTCTTATTACTGTGTACACATGTAACGTCTACCATGTTTGTTTTGTAAGAACGAACTGGATAGAAATGAGGGGATATAATCTTTTGTACTCAATAGAATTGCACATTCATCTTGGACGTAAAACAAAAAATCTGATCTTCACACGACTTCATCTTGATGAAATACATGCAGGTCACTTCTCATATAGAACACCATCCGTTTGCCAACTTTTCTAGCTAAAGTTAGGAATACCAGAAAGAACGTTAATAGGAATCTGTCCAATAAGTTCCAAAGAAGAAAGTGTTAGGAGTCTGAAAAAATAATGACCTGAGAAACAGTGAATCACTGAGAGTGACATGAACTTTACATCTCTTCAGAAGCCGTGTATGAATTTGCTGGGATTTCAGGAAGAGAATAATAAGTCCACATTATTGAAGCTTGGGACAATCACAGAAAGACAGCTGCAGCCTGATTCCTAGTGCTACTGCTTTGTGGATTCTTTTCAGTTCTCTTTCCATTCTACATTCTTCTGAATCTATAAGCCCCTCTCCTCCCTTTCTGTGGAAGAAGTGGTAAAAACATGCACACCTGCTGAGTTTGTGCTGGTCTGGTTCTTCCTTCTCTTAAAATATTTTTTTAATAAGTTAAGATAACTTTTTAAAAAATGCAAGAAGCTTAAGGGACACATAGCTGTTAAGACTTGTGCCATGTAACATCCTTGTAGAAAGAGTTATTTGCCTGCAATAGTCTCAGACAAAACACATCTACTCAAGTACCGTATGAGAATGGCTCCCCCTGGAGGACAGATTCAAGCAACTTCATATAAATTGAATGAAGTTATTTAAACTAGATGATCTGACAGTTCAGTGCACCCCTAAACAAGATACAAAAACAACTTTGTCTTTAAAATGGCTGCAGTTGTTGGGAACAGAATAGAAAAGTTATCCTAGTATGTCAATCAGCATTCAAAAAAGGCAGGGAATTCTCTACTTCATTCTTTTCCAAGTCTCATGTCCTCCAGAATTATTCTGCTTACAATTCATAAAGCAAGGTTTAGAACATTTAACAAGGTTCTATCTGGAAGGCAGCTATAATTCATTATGACATTTCATTGCTTTTTTCTCTTAAAGAATTAAGATCATAAACCATTTACCTCTTCGAGCTTGAGAAGCTTCTCCTGGTATTCACTCTTCGATGCTGATGCATCTTCACCTTTCCTGATAGCCAGAGTATACTTGTAGCTTATTGGAGGTAACTAAATTAGAAATGATACATTACCAAGACACACAAAAATATAGGATTTTTATTCAAAATATAAAAAATTATTATGGGAATATAGACAATACCATCAACAAAAAATAAGTTGTCCTGGTAACATATATTATCCCCATTTTTATTTATAAAAGCAATTAGGACCAGAATTTCCATTGCTAAGCAATGTGGCAAAGTGTGATATTGCATAGTGTCAGCAATCCCTGATGTTAAACCAGAATTGTGGATTGTTAGGCAAACAATCTCCTTACCACTGCTGTCTTCCAACAACCAAATTGACCAGGCAAGCTGGCAGGAAGTTGCTAGTACCAGGTGGCTTGCAAGCAGGCTGACAGGCAAGTAAGTGGATGCTGCCAGATGGGAGAGGAAGCAGACAGGAAAGCATGGCCCAAGGGCATCAGAGCTTGGGGTAGTTGTTACTTGGTAGGAGATGATGCTTGAGAATGCACAAGTGGAGGGGAGCCCACTGCCACAAACGCAGTGGTCTTAGGGTGGCTGCCTCTCTAGGAGTCTCTGGAGGCTGGGGACAGCAAAAAGCGTCACTTCCTGTCCAACCAGAAATTGGGAAACGGGCCATTTAGGGCCTCCGGAGGGCCTCCGAGGGGGTGGGGAAGGCTGTTTTCGCCCTCCCTAGACTCATTGAGAGGATCTGGAGCCAGGTGACAAAGAAAAATGGGCCTTCCCCACCCCACCCCCAGGCCCTCTGGAGGCAGGAAACACTTCAGAAGGCCCGAAAATTAGATGGCCAGCGCGCACATGCGTGCCAAACTGAGCTGGCATACCCACTGATATGGCTATGTGTGCCACCTGTGGCACACGTGCCATAGGTTCGCCATCACGGGTATAGAGTGTCTGTTGTCCCCTGTTGGAGGGCAGGTGCCCAATGGTGCTTGAGTGGCCAAGGAGGATGTGCGAGTGGCTGGAGAGGCTGGGCATGAGTTCAAGGGTCAGGGAGAATGGATAGGTGGAGGAGACTTTCCCAAGCAACTTGGGACCTTTCCTGTTGGCTTCTCTATTGATTTTGCTTTTAGAATCCCAGCAGGGAAGATTGCAAATAGTGATCACATGAGTGTGGGTTGTACAAGCTGTCAGATCATGATCAAGTGATCACAGGTTGCTGAGACAGACAGAACTTCTAGGACTAATTGTAGCTACCAATTTGGTTGTCTCAAAGGTGTTTTTTCAAAAGGCCACCGGACTATACTATGTTCTTTGAGAAAGACATTTCACTTCTCATCAAAGAAGCTTCTTCAGTTCTGACTGAATTAATTGATCAATTAATTGAACAGCATTTCTCAACAGAGGGGGAAGAATACAACACCACCTATCTCCTGTCTGTTTTACCAGGCAATCTACTAGTTTTATTGTAATCTTCCACACTAAAATGAATTTCTTGCTATGTTTAGTAATACCTTGGAGAAGTATTCCAAAATCATTTTCTGATAAGCTTTTTCATAAGGGTCCGCAGGGTACAACTTCTTTTCAGGGTAAGCTTCATCCAGATATTCACAAGTGATTGGAGATTCATAGATCAGCTGACCCTTGCTTGTTTCTAGCACAGGTACCGTTCCAAATGGGTTCTTCTCAAAAAACCACTCTGGTTTGTTTTTCAAATTGATATTAACAATTTCATGGCTAAATAGAATGAGATGAAATCACCAGATTAATTATCTCAGGAATATATTACTAAGACAGGCTATGCCAAAATGAGATTGTTTAAAGTTATTGCAGTGGGGAAAGTAAGAGGACGAAGGTATATTGGATATATTCACCGCCTTGAGTTATTTGTAAAAATAATAAAGGTGGGATAGAAATAAATAAATAAAAAGATATGACTAGTAATTCCTGCTATATGCTGTTTAAAAAATACAACATGATAATATTAACTCTTAGAAACTGGAAGACTCTTAGATTCTGATTTTAGGGATCTATTTATGTGTCTCTACATAAGGCTCTCCACTACATTCAAACAGGACAACCAAAGAAGTTAGTGTCTGTGGCTTGCATTTGCAGGCTCCATATTCCTTTCTTTCTTTCTTTCAACAAAGTTTTGGAACAAGATTCAGATTATGTCCATCCTATTGGATTGCATGGAATGGCTAGGAGAATAACTTTCCCTTGGATTACTTCATGCTAACCTTTCCCTGAAGTATAATCACCATATATTTAATGTTTAAGCAAATTTCATCCTATGGTAACATACCTAGATGATCTCAGAACGTCAACAGGTATAGTCTTCATTAGCATTAGGATAGGAAATCACATATCCTAATAAAAATGGAAAACAACCCAGCACCCTGGAAGAGCAAAGGCTAATCACTTTCATATGGTTGCCAACAAATCTGCATGATTTATGAACCTACCAGAAGTTAAGTTTATCTCTAGAATCCTGATTTTATCTTAACTGGTATGGCATGGAGGACAGGGTTTTTAAAAAAGATTTATTTAAAGAGATGTCCTATGGCTGTTCATACAAAAACAGCTTACCATTATAATAAATTGGACCATATGCATATGCTCGCTCACTATTTAAGAAGACTGAGGGATACTATTAAAAAAATACCTAAATGCCATATTCCTTCAAGTTGCTTTGAAATCCAGACCGAATGTAACTCAGGCATGTCTATGCCTGAAATACCGCATTATATTCTAAAACCAATAATCTACTCATGCGAGATGACCTACAATCATCACAAGACAAATCCTGCAAATGATCAAGAAAACATATTACATAATCAGAGCAATAGATATACCAAGAATTTAAACGAAAACAACCACCCTCTTCCCTTTAGCTATCCATCAATTTCCCTATTATATTTCTAAACTAGTTCTCAGATGAAATTCTTCTGCAGCAGAATCCCCTATTGAACCAAGGAACAAATCTGAAATTGAAAATGTTCTATGATATTAAACAAAGGAAAGTAACAAGTCTTTGAAGACAATATCTGCTAATTTTCAACCAAAAAAGAATTTTATATTTTTACATTAAGCCGTAATGAATATAGGAGACAGGTCATACTTGATTCCTTTGGCTTTCAGAACGAGTCGTGTTCTCTGTGCAAAAGGGCAGTAACGCATACTGTACAGACGGATGGTTCCTTCAGGCACTGGCCCTGGGGCTAGATTTCCTGCAAGACAAGTTCAAATCTCCAGTCAGAACTAACAAAAACTAGATTCTATCTTGAAGACAAACAATAAGTCATCAAAAAATAAGATAAGGTTTATTGTCATATACCTGTATACACAACGGCACACATTAAAATGAAATTCCAATGCTCCCCCACTCTCGAAAGGAGGAATGCCACCAAACAATTTCACCATCCCAAGGATAACAACAATATTACAACAGATGCCATGTTATACAAAAATGACACAAAAATCTATATTAATCACAGTGCATTTTGAATACATAGCGGAAAAGAGTGTCTTGATTGTTAGCAAGGTCGATAGTATATGAAACAAAGCTGTTACAGAATCTAGTTGTTCTGCTTTAGATACCACAAAGCCTTCCACCCAGAAGGCAACAATGAAAACAGGGCATTAAGGTGTATAATATACAAAAAGAGAAAAAAAGGTAGGAAATAAAACTCTTAAAACAAATATAGTCTATCTTCTTATTATACCTTCTCATTATTGTTACTCATTCCAATAGTTTATCTTACACAGCCTGTCTTCATATAATATATTAAGCTTGGGTAGAGTGTTTATGGCTCTGTGTTGTACTGCTTTTTACCCAGTGTGTTTAGTGCAGTGATGGCGAACCTTTTCGCCTGCGCCCGCTAGTCTGGGCTGCAACCCGGAAGAGGAGCTGCCCAGGGAACATGCACGCGCCTGAAAATCAACTTCGTTTCAGCCAGCTAGACTTCCGGGTTTCTGGCACACATGCGCACGTGACGATAAGCTAGCCGGCCCGCATGCTCACGCAGGAAAACGGGAGACCGGCTCTTCCAGTTTCTGGCACTGCCAGACTAATGAAGGCCAGCTGATAGTTGTGCATGCATGCGTGCCAGGAACCTGGAAGAGGAATGGGCAATGCCGTGCGTGCTAGGTGACATTAAGAGTGGGATGGAGCCCATTAAATGGCTTGTGTAATATGTTGTCGCTGGTGTGGAGGGTGGGGTAGGGTGGAGGACATTTATATTACTTTATTATTTTATTATTTTCTTCCATTAGTTGTAATTTTTATATATGGTGTTTTTATATTCCTGTAAGCTGCCTTGAGTTGCCATGTGCGAATAGGCAGCAATATAATTTTTCTAAATAAATAAACATATAAACAGTAAATATACTAGGGCAAGGCTGCATATCAGAGCATACATTCCACCAAAAGTCATAATAGAAGTGTACATATATTTGGTTGTACAATTTCAGATATGTAGCATTTTTAATCCTAATAATAGTGAATTCCATTCATCGTTTCTGGCCACACAAGACCAGAGATCAGGGGTTAAACATCCTTAACGACATGATATTCCTCACGAAACTCCATGACATGTGTCGTCCCCCAGCTCTTGAAAAACGGCGCGGCTGAAGACCAGCCCAGGCCGACACCCAACCGCCTTAGGTCACAGAACAGCCTTCACCGAACGGGTGATTCTATAACTCCCACAGCCCTAGAAAGGAGGGTTGCCTTAAACCAGTTGGATTAGAAGATGATGGTGCTCCTCCTGGGATCAGAGCGTTTGCTCACCTTTTCCCAAGCTTCTAGCAAATTCCCCAGACATCTTGCTTCGGGCCACCAGAGAGAAAACGGAACCAGCTGAACCCGTCGGAATTTTCCCTTAAGACGCCGCCTTTTCTCTCCACCGGCCTCTCGACGCAGTTTTGCTCCTCCTCTTCGTTAGTCGGCAACTCTCCCTCCTCCGCTGGATGCTTAAGAAGCGTCCACGCTGGTTGATTGACACGAAGCAAATGGCTCGGAGGGCAGAGCGAATTGCGCTCTTTCTATCGCGGTAAATACTTCCGGCGTAGCAAAGTGTCGGATACAGCTGCGGATTAACTATAGGAGTCTATGCATTTAAGTACAGTTAGGAAGAGTGTAAATTCCATCTACTATGTAAACATACGTTTGAAAATCAAATACAAGAATTGAAAGGTATAAGAACAGGACGGCAAATGGATTCTGCTGCCAAATTCTCTCCGCCCCCCCCCCCGTTTATTTTCGCTTTGTCTGCGATTAGGCAATTGCCTTTCATTTTCTTAGGATAGCAGAATTCAAAACGCTCCACACCAGCCTAAAGGATATAGTACTATAAATCATGTCATGTAAACCCCAGTAACATTGGACTTATACTAAGCCCTGTGATTCAACTTAATGTGTAAACCAACACACAAATGCAGCCAGTATAGAAAGATAAATATGCAACTATCCTCAGCAGATAATATGGTATATTTTACTGTATTTTTGTTATTTATTATTGAATATTGGATTATTTTTTGTTGTTAGGGTTGGGAGTTTTTGAACTTTAGTCTAATGCCCAGAATCTCTGGATTGAGGTGTTATATTAATATTTGTATAAATAAACCAGTAAAACTTTTGTCTCTTGAAGTCATTTCAAGTTAAAACAATGTTTGCTGGCTGTGCAGACTTAAAATCATGACCAGAAATGGAAAATAAATCCCGTCTCCCTAAATTATATTATATATCTGTAAAATGCTGGTTGTAATTGATATGTCTCATAATGTACACAATATATGTTAAATATATATAACCAATTTATAAAAATATAGGAATAAGAGGTATATCAGGGAAAGTTTATAGAAGAAGTAGACAACTTGTTGAGTCATTGCTTCAGAGATACTACCTTACTAGATTCCTCAATGTCTTCAACAATGGCAGAACTCTTAATGTATTGGGAAAGTTCTTAAATATTTAGAGATGTATCTACCTTGAACAGTAGTCCTTGTTGAACTGTATAGCACAGCCAAACACCAGCAGTTCACAAGAGGAAATGTTTTATGACATTTTGTATTATGTCAAAAATGCTTTATGATAATTTTATGGTGATATTTTTAATAACATTTGCCAAATTTCAATTCCACAGGAGTCATGGGTCCTGGATTTTGAATACATTATGTAATTTAGCCCATTTGAGATACCTTTATTGAAAATGGTTTGCCCTACAATGCACAATTACACACAGTTAAAAATTACAGATATAAGAATTTTATTACTAGATAGAGGAATGCTTTTTTCTGAAAACACCACTCATTCTTTCATTCTTTCATTCATTCAACACTCAATCATTCTTTCAATGATTCCACTCAATCATTGAAAATGATTGTATAAAGTTCTCTTTCAGCAGTAGAAAATAACATGACTGCCAATATCTATTTATCTAGATAAAAAGCTTGATAGGTATTCCAAAGCTTCTGTTTGTCTCTCAGCAATTTTGAAATGTTCTCTTTTTATTTCTGGTTTGCAAAGGAATTCAGCCTTGGTTCTAAATTGAACCAGTGAATTTTTACGGTATTGCATATAAGTTTTGAAATATGTTTTCTCTTATTCCGGGTTTACAAAGGAAGTCAAACTTGGTTCTAAATTGTAGATACAGTAACTGAATTTTCAGAGTAATACACATTATTGCCACATAAAGTTTTGAAATAAGTTTCATCAAATAGCGTTTGCATTATTTCCACTAATAGTAACTACAATTTTTTTTTTTAAAAAAAATTTGATTTATATGCCGCCCTTCTCCGGAGACTCAGGGCAGCTTACAATGCGTTAAGCAATAGCCTTCATTCTTTTGTATATTTTATACAAAGTCAGCTTATTGCCCCCACAAACTGGGTCCTCACCTACCTTAGAAAGGATGGAAGGCTGAATCAACCTTGAGCCTTGGAGAGATTCGCACCAGCAGAAATTGCAGGCAGCTGTATTAATAACAGGGTGCACTAAACCACTGTACTATCAAGGCTCTTATTATTATCAGCACTTTAACAATTTAAACTTGCAATCAAATCCCAGTTATAGGAAATATTAACAACAAAAGAAAACATTGAATGTGTGGATTTTCCAGGTCCAAATATGACCAGTTTTTCCCAAGCAGGTATCCAGTTTGGATATCTAACAATAACGCACACGTGGAAACGTATGACTAGTTTTTCTTTTTTTCCCCTAATTACTTGCTAGAAATCTTCCTAGGTTGCCTATTTCTGTACCTGTATTTATGACGGATGATTGTAGATAATCTTTGATTTACGACTATAATTGAGCCCAACATTTCTGTTGTTAAGTGAAACATTTGTTAAGTGAGTTTTGTCCCATTTTATGACTTTTCTTGCCACAGTTGTTAAGTGAATCACTGAAGTTGTTAAGTTATAACATGGTTGTTAAGTGAATCTGGCTTCACTTTGATAACATATAGTTACCAAAATGCGTAAGTTTTGAAATGAAAGAACAAGTTTAAATAGTGCCAATTTTTTGGTTATAATATACAGATGTGTCACTGTGTTATGTGTTTGTCAGCTGAGCGTCCATTCTGAGCATTAGAATGATCTAATAAATGATGATCAATAAATCATCATTCAAATTCAAGTTCTGTTGAAGTGGCCAATTCATTTTATTTAATTATTGCTGCAGCTTATAATGCTGTTCCATTTTTCGAGCGTCTGAAAGGGTAACTGATGCGAAAAATAAATTAAAAAACCAAACATTCATTTCTTTATTCTTGCTCCTCCCACGTAGGCTACTGCAGCCGGCAGCGAAACTTCCCCTTATTTTAACAATTAGCATATCGCATTTAAAAAAAAAAAGGAATGGAAAAAAATGGCATGTCAAGACAGGCCGGACAGTTGCAGTTAAGGTAGAAGACATTCCTTATAGGTATTTTTAAAGGACCCTTCTCGTTTCCCTCTATAACTCACTTGGAGCATATGGGTTGCAATGGCAAGAGGAAGAGGAGGAGCTTATTAGCTTTAGCCAATCGCAGAAAAGCAGCTCGCGGTTGCTCGGATACGAATGTAAACTGCAAGCCTCGGCTGAGCGAAGATCGCAAGAAGGCGGCGGGCACCATGGACCCTCTGAAAGGGGGCGGCCGTCGCCCGGTATCCGCGACTCACAAAGCGGAGCTGGAACCCAAGTACGAAGGGAAAGGAGAGGGACGGGAGGCTTTCTGGTGTTTCTGAGATGTGCTTTCCTAAAAACCTTCCTTTTTATTCCCTACCTTCCCTAAAGTTTATCCGGGGAAAAAGGCTATATAGAACAGCGCGATTTCCTTTTGTGAAGGCTTTTTGCCTGGCAAACAAACAAGTTTGGGTTTTGTTAAGATAAGGATCACCGGGTTTTTAGTCTGTCAGGTGTTTTTCAAGGATTCCATATGGAAATAAGATTACCAGCTGCACATTGTTGTTGTTTTTAAAATGAGAGCCCAGTTGTGTGTTTTCTTTTTCATGCCAACATCCTTGGAGACAGTCCTGGGGTTTGTTGGAAAGAGTTCTTTAGATGTTTCTATGGGAATCATAAGGTTATATTGAAGAGGGGGGTTGAAATACATGAATTGTCAAGGAAAAAGACAGGTGGAAAAGAAATAAACGGTTTGATATTGCTGCAAATGGTGAAGCTGAAGAGAATGCATGGGGATTAAATGAAAACAATGTATATGAAGGAAGGAAGAGTTGTGGTTGGAGGAAGTGGATGACATTTTCGAACGTGCAGAGGTGAGAATTTTAAAGAAGAAAGGTGCAGTGTATGAAGCAGATCTGGTGAGAGTAAGGATAATGTAGTGCCTTGGCACAACTTACAAAGGTAGAGAGATGAAGGGCTCAAATTTCCTCACCCAGAAGGAGTTTTCATATCCTGAGTTTTTATATCTTGTCATACTTCTCACATTGTGGAGTAGCAGCTTGATCATATAGAGAGCTACCACCTACCTGGTCAAAAAGAGCCATTTTTGTTTATTGGTTAAAGCACCGGGTTAGAAACCAGAAGACTGTGACTTTTTGTCCTCTCTTAGGCACAAAACCAGTTGGGATAAAGTCAGTGGCAAACCTCTTCTGAAAAACGTTGCCAGGAAAACCACAGGGACTAACCCATGTAGTCATGATGAGTCAAAACTGTGTTGAGGGCACACAACCCCCACTAGGAAACACTTTATTTAATATGTAAGATTAGTCATCTATAATTAAAGGTATTTCACTTAAAATATATTTTCTCCAAGGTGGGTACAAGGATTCACCAATAGGAAAGTTGGATTTATCAACAACAGGACTGTTTCTTATCCTTGTGGCAATTACATTATCTTTATTAACATGGAAACACGAGAGAGATCATTCTTGCGATGTCACTTTGGAAATATTGGAGCGTTTGCAGTGAATGCAAGCCAGAATATTGTTGCTTTTTCTGATCGGCAGTTGAATCCTAGAATCTATGTTTACAATTTTCCAGGACTAAAGAAAATAGCAAAATTAAAAGGTGAGTGTGAGGACACTTTTATATACAGCGTTATTCCATATACGTATGGCAGCATTCAGTTAAATAAAAAGCCACATTCATATTTATATGTCCTTTATTATCTCCATGCATATCATGCTCTGCTGCCTCATCATGACAGCAGAATGTTCCTAGGAGGGATGAGCGAAGAATGCAGGCCAATAATACATATATCCAGTAGGATTACCCAAGGTGTAAAGCTCATTTGCAGCTGCCCAGCTAAAGCAAGCAGACATTTATATCAGGCGGTAGTACTGATATAGAAAGATGTTGAAGGTAGATGATCCCTTTCAATGACAAAAGAAAACATTTGATAATATGCAGGAGAAAGCAATATTAAACCACTCCTGCAATTTACCACAAAAATCAAAGGACACCATAGACATAATAAAGTGATTGGAGATAAAGTACGAGTATTGGGCTCCTGAGGTTGGGTGACCCTCTCTATGATAATCATAAAATATGTCAAAGAATAATGTGTAATGTATGAAT